AACCCAACGCTATTTATACGAGTTAGCTCGCTTGCGTAAGCAGCCGTGATATGTATTGCTTAAACCGCTTAACACAGAAAACGACTAATAAAAAAAACCGCTAATAAATGGCGTCCAACTTGTTGTTTTTTTCTTTATGATGGCGTCTCAACCTCGTTGATTTTGCGCAGCTACAGGAGAGCCCTCTTGCGATATTTGTATTGTATTGGGAATAACCAATTAGCAGATTGTTCGAATCTTACACTTACAATTTGCGGTGTTTTCACAGTCAATTTACGGTGTTTTCACTAGTAATACCACTAGAGGTCAAATTATTTCCGGAAATTTTTTCGAGCTCATGAATATTTTGAAAATTATCCCGAGTCGAAGACGAGGGATAATTTTCTAAAAATATTCATGAGGGAGAAAAAATTTCCGGATGTAATTTGACCTCGTGTGGTATTCGGTAAGAAAATTCCACACCAAATTGTGTTTAAATAATTAAAATTTATTTTTTGATTTAACTTGACCTCGACTTGATTATTTAGTTACCATGGCAACTAAGTCAATCCCAACCTAAAAGTTATTTCAATTTTGAAGCTGTCAAGCGGCACGACGCGTAATAATGCGGGTAAATAAGTCATTGCACGATGATTGATCATTATAGCAGACAATTTCACATTTTTTTACGTCGCGACGTAAAAAAATGTGAAATTGTCTGCTATAATGATCAATCATCGTGCAATGACTTATTTACCCGCATTATTAGAGGATTGTGGCTCCTTCTTGAAGAAAGAAAATTTGTTTTGAATTGTTCACGAATATTTGCATCTTAACTATTCAAAACTCAAAGTGCTAAATGGAAAAAAAGGTGAATAGAATAGTGTTTAAATATTATATATATTTCATTAGACATAGACATTTAATTTATTTTAATTCCTGCATTTTCGCCATTAAGAAGAAAGGAGGTGTCCAACGAATATAGAAAACATCTAAACTTTGTAATGGAAATGTATCAAAATTATCATGTAAACAAATAAAAACCAGATTGTCAAAAAAATATTCTGTCATTATAAACGTCAAAAAATTTCCAGTATAATTCGCTGTTGGGTACCCACGAGGAAAAAATTTCCACTAAAATTCAACCGTTGCCATGGTGATCTATCAAAAATTCACGTTTTGATTGGTTAAAAATTACAGGTGTGGAATTTTCACAGTAAACTCACAGCGCTTTTACGGTGAATTCACGGTGATTTCACGATAAATTTACGGTACTTTTACAGTGAATTTGCGGTGATTTTGCAAACTTGAGTTCACCGTCAATTTACGGTGAAATCACCGTGAATTAACCGTGAAATCACCGTGAATTTATCGCAAAAACAGCGTGAGTTCACCGTTTAATTATCGTCTACAAATGTCACAAATGGACGGTATATTCACTGCACATAAACGGTGTATTCACGGTGAATTCACGCAAACGGTGAATTCACCGTAAACTCAAGGCCGCAAGGGATCATAAAACGGTCGAATGACTAACGTCGTTTTCACGTGCAACCTGACGCGGAGAAGTTATTGGATCTTCTTGAAAGGCTAATATAATATTAACTTTCACATTTTCATCAATAAAATGAGGCGTCCTGCGTAATGGTTTAACGAGTCCATATTCACGAAATTGTGCATATATTTTAGACACAGTTACCTGAGAAAGTGGTGGTAAATCTGGGTACTTTCCATTAAAAAGGTTTGCAACTTGCTGTTGTGATCTGCACATATCACTGTAACCAATCATCATTAATATTTCTATTCGCAGAGTTTCTGTCAAGTGTCGCATTTTTTAACTAAAATATTAACTGACTTGGATCTAACAAAATACTTCAATAAGGGCTGGTTTATCAATGTCCAGTTAAAGTTGCAGTTAGTTATCTGGTAGATAATTTCCATGGATACCATTGTTCTCACAACGAACGATATGAAATTTAACCGTCAGATAGACTTACTGGAACTTAACTAGAGATTGATAAACCGGCCCTAAGTAAAGCGCAAAATGTTTCAATAATAATAAAAATTTAAACAATGCAAAAAATGTAAACAATGCAAAAAGGACAAACGCAAAAAATGGCATTAACAAAAAATAATAACAAAGCGAAAAAACATGAATATCTGCGAAAGCCACAACACAAGAAACTAAATCAAAGAATAACAATAAAAAATTCATACTTGTAATTTTTAAATATTCACCCTGTATTGAAAATTATGGTTACTAAACCCTACTTATGTGGTATCGTCGTACTCCAAAAAATGTGCACTATCAATTTTCCATGAAAAAAAGTGGGGTTGGTATTTAAGACAAGGGTGCGGGGGGGAAAATGGTGGGGGCATAAAATTTAAAAAAATCAATATAAGATTTGGAAAAAAAACCTAAAGTTTACGTGTCCGAACGTTTTTCAAAAAAATCTTTTCTCAACGAATAACGAATTTTATTCCATAAGTGAGTTCCACACTATATATATCAACGGGTTTAAGGCAAAACGGCACAAACACCAAAATTTAAAAAAAATTGTTACAGCTCTAGCTAGAGAATTTAATTCTCTATCAACCTGTACTTAAGAATTCTAACAATTTTTTCAAAAATTTGGCGCTTGTGCCATTTGGCATTAAACCCGTCGTTATAAATGCATTTCCTTTTGAAATATACAACTTTTTTTACTCATTCATGTGCGCTGGAAATGCGTCGGCACACGTCCGCTTTAAATGCGCCGGCACACGTGCGCTGCCTATGAGACGCATATGTAAGCGCATCTCTGTAGTGATCTGCGCGCACGCGTGCCGTTTAAAGACGCACGCGTGCACTCACTGTACGCGCATCGTGACTACATTTTGCTATACTGGCTTTTGAGTCTATAGACTCAAAAGCCAGTATAACAGCGGTTGAACGGTTTCGACTGCTCGGCACTGCTTTGTTTCAGAGCAGATCTGCTATCTAGATAATAATAGAATAATTCGTATAGAATATTCCCTAGAACATTTGTTGTCCGGATTCGGTTTCCGGTTTAAAGTTGACAAAAGTGAGCGTTGAAGAGCCCCAAAGGACAGACAGACATTTAAGTACCCTGCACGGCTTTATGTATACAAGGTGTCCCTAAACTTAGTGGCATAAATTAAGGAGCAGATTAAGCAAGTCAAAATAAGACGAAAATCTAAATAAATATTTTTCCTAATTACGTATGTTTAAAAGATACAGGGTGATAAAGTGTTAATTATCATATCAGTTTTTTTAATATAACTTCTACTATGGTAGACTTAGAAAGGTAATATTTTGCGAACAGTCACTTACTACCAAAACACATATTCACACATAATTACAATTGTGCGAGTGAACGCAGTGTCGTAGAAACAGGGGTTGCTTAAGCTTATTGTCCCATACAAACTTTGAGGTTAGGTTTTTATACCATTTGATGCAATTTTTGGATTACTTAGTTCGGCTACTATTAAAAAGGTGTACCTCTCAAACTTCGATAAAATTAACCGTTTCCGAGATATTCAAGATTACAATATTTGTTATATGGCATTAAAGGACTAAAAGGTATATGATAACAATTTTTTTAATTGAAAAAACTACAATTTTTTTTTGTGACGGTCAGGGCAAAAGTCCCGAGGCTCATGAAATGCTCTTTTTAGTTTTTTCAATAAAAAAATAAAATTTGTTATCATATAGCCTTTATACCTTTTAAATAATGCGATATAACAATTATTGTAATCTCGAATATCTCGGAAACGGTTTATTTTACCGAAGTTTGAGAGGTACACCTTTTTAATGTTAGCCGAACTGTGTAATCGAAAAATTGCATCAAATCTTATAAAAACCTAACCTCAAAGTTTATATGGGACAATAAGCTTAAAGCAACCCCCGTTTCTACGACACTGTGTTCAGTCAAACAATTGTAATTATGTGTGAATTTGTGTTTTGGTAGTATGTGACTATTCGCAAGATATCACCTTTCCAAGACTACCATAGTAGAAGTTATATTAAAAAAACTGATATAAGTAACACTTTATCACCCTGTATCTTGGAAACATAAGTAATTAGGAAAAATATTTATTTAGATTTTCTTCTTATTTTTACTTGCTCAATCTTTTCCTAAATTTATGCCAATAAGTTTAGGGACACCTTGTATAACGTTTGCGCGACATCGGTATTACGGGAAACGGCGCAGATTCCCACTTTTGTAAGCAGGGTGGCACTACCTTGCAGATAAAGTTGGGTGTCCATGAGGATTTTCCTCTCCAAAGTTAGGGTGCCAATGGTTATGTTAAAATTTCATATTTTTTAATGAATTTTGACCACTTTTTTTCATTCAGGTAATATGTAGTTTTGGTAGATTTGTTATTATAATTGAAAATTAACGAATATCATTCTGGAGGTCGTGTTAAAATTTCATATTTTTTTCTTTTTAATGAATTTTGACCATTTTTTTTTCATTCAGGTAATAGGTATTTTTGGGAGTTTAGTTAATATAATTGAAAATTAACGAATATCATTCTGGAGGAAACTCAATGTTTACCAAAAACTTAACCATTACCTACTTAAATTTAAACCTATTTTTATTTATTTAAATAAAATAAAACAAATTAAGTAAAAATAACAGTTTATTTCTGTAATTACAATTAGAGTCTTCAAACAACTTTAGACTACATGTGGACAGATTTGTTTAAAGAAAATATTTTGGTTTATTTTTTTTTAATGCGGAGTTAAACCATAAAACCTATTTAAAATAACAAAATTAATTGTACAATTCATAATAAAAACTTTAAACCATTTAAAATTACATTAAGGTTTATAATTATTTAGCCATATATTTTGTGTTAAATTAATATTGGGCTAAAAATATTCCACTCTTAAAATTTAATTTAATTTTTCATCAGTCAAAATCAAAAGCATAGCACAGGGTAGAAAAAGGTAACATCTGGGTAACAAGTGTGTTAATTATAAATATTAATCTTAAAAATATTTAAATAATCCACCCTGTACTTACGTATCCATTTTTTTTTTAGAGAAGCTAATTACATATATAAATAACAAACACTGAAGAAACTATAAAATAAATATAGGTTAAAATAAAACTTACTTGTTTAAAATTATTTTTAAAACCTCACAAATTAAAAGTATATTTACAAAATAAGTAGTATCATTTACATAATACTGCATATCACCCGAGATATGAGATTAGGACTTTTAGGTCCGTTTTATTTTAGTCTATCTATTTAAACCCAAGCTTTTCTTTTTTTGATTTGTTTCGTCTCGTATTGTCTTCACTTTCTCTGTGTACTGGTTTAGTTGTTGTAACCTTTCTTCAAAATTCTAAAATAAAAAATAAAATTAAAACTTAGTGCTAGTAAATAAAATTTAAAATGCTACAGTTTAAGAATTTAAGAATACATTTTAAGTTGTATGAAAAGGACCAAACAAATTTGGCTTTTTTCTAATATCCTTTTTGTTTATTTACGATTTTACTTTAATATAAAAGCTGATATAAAATGTAATAAACAAATCAGATCACCGAACACTGAATACAAAAACAAAATTGTTTAAAAATTACAGGGTTATTTTTAAATTTTATTTCATTTAATAAAAACACAGTCAGGTTCCAGCACTTGAGAAGGCACCACGCGAGAGCGAAAGTTCTTAAAACGTAAAAGTTTAAAGATTAAAACCAACAATAATTTTTAAAAAGTGCAAACCAATTATAGTGAAACAAACAATTTTCATAGAGTGCAAACTAAAATGGTGTAACGGTCAATGAGGAGTGAAGTGTTAAGTGATATGAATGAGTTAAGTGTCACCTGTCATTGGACGCTTTTCACTGGACAAACAAAGGAGGTCAAACAAGAGGGGAGGTGACCATCCGCAAAAAATTGATAAGTAACCTTAAGCTTATGCATGACCTAACACATAATCTGCAAATTAAACATGACAGATATCTTTAAAACCCTAAGAAAGGCACACTGCGTAGGATAATACCAATAATAAACACCAATAATAAACACTAGACACACAGAATAAACTAACACATTAATCATTATAACCTAATGGGCAAAACCTTTATCAAAAGGGTAAGAGTAGCCCAATTAAAATACTGGGCCCACGTCACTCGTAGGCAACGCAACAACATACTACAAGCCACCCTTAAACTAGACCTTACAGACAAAAAAGTCGGGAGACCATGCTTCACATTTCATGACACGTTAGCACAAAACATGCACTTCTCACAAATTAACAAGACCAGTTGGGAGCAACTAAGCAACAATAAAAATAAAATAAAAAAACAACTGACACACTTTACCAAGTGCAGGAACTATCTGACCAGGACACAGACAATGACAATAACGAACAAGACGAAGACCTCGACTAGGAAACTACACCCCTGCAGTGAAATAACAACTCCCCAACTCCAAATAGTAATCCCAAATGTTTGGAGTAATACTAACCGACTGGTCTAGGGGATTCCGCGTCGTACTTAGTTTTAAGTCGGCGTAATTGTCCCCCAAAAACCAACAAACGTCTATCCCTCCCGTCCCTTCTCCTCTATACCCTACTGGGCGTATAGCATCGGCTCGGCGAACCCGAGAATGGCTATTAAAACTATTCGCATGTCGCTCTCGAGCCCCAAATAGGGGACAGTACGGAACGCAATGGAGATTCGCACCCAGCAAACACGGGTGAAGCCGTGCAGTTGCTGGGGGCGAATAAAAATCGGCGTAAGTAAACATAGGCCTGTACGGGGTCCGGGAGTGATGAGGCAATGGGGCTGGTTATAGGTCTCTTATACTCATACTCATACTTATTTCATTTAATAAAAACACATAAAAAAGAAAATTGAGGGCCTTAGAATAAAACGGGTATAAGTGTAGCTGCCTTGTGCAAAAATGCCGGATTCTAGATATTGTAGCGAGTACGGCTCTGGATCTCGCTATGATGACTCATCGTCGATGAGTCATCGCCGGTGACTCAGCGCTCGAATAATCGAGAGTGTGGAGCTCGCTGGAATGTTCCAGAAGACGTAGGCGCTGTAATATATAAGGAACGGCGCTTCATGGAGAGTCAGTGGAGCTTTGGTACGCGCGAAGAAATAAATAAATATAAGTGCAAATAAATAAACTAGTAGTGATATAAATAATTAGTAGTTAAGTGTTTAGTTAATTTCATAGTGTTTTAAGTGTAGTTAAGTTATTAAATAAATAGTTTAGTTTGTTAATTAACCAGTGCGTGTTTTAATTCACACTACGAACAGTTAAAACGTTACAATTGGTGTCAGGAGTGCGGTTAGTGTGAAAGTTCGAGAAAATGGTTTCGTTAATGGACTTAAAAGTAGCGGACCTTAAGCGGGAGCTAGAAGAAAGAGAATGTGAAACAACTGAAAAAAAAAATGTGTTGCAGCAGCGGCTTCGAGAAGCATTGGAACAAGAGGGTAAAAATCCAGATACGTATTTATTTGAAGACCCTTGTGACATGCATTTAATGTTGCAAAATTTAAAAGACTTAAAAGTCGATTTACAACAGAATATTCTAGAAAATTCTAACGACTTACAAAATAAAATGATAGAAAATTCTAAAGAACTGAAAGATTTAAAGGATGATTTGCAACAGAAAATGGTAGAAAATTCTAGCGAATTAAAAGTCGATTTGCAACAGAAAATGGTGGAAAATTCCAACAATTTAAAGGATGATTTACAACAGAAAATACTGGAAAATTCTAAAAATTTAAAGGAATATTTGGAACAGAAGATTCTAGAAAATGTCAATGAATTAGAAGAGAAAGTGGGACAAAAAGTTGACGATGTAAGGATGGAATTAGAAGAGAAAGTAGGACAGAAAGTTGACGATGTAAGGATGGAATTAAATAACGTAATGAGGGAATTAGATACAAGAGAAGAAAAATTGAACGAGAAATTGGAAGTCAAAATTAGAGAAATAAATAGTAAACTGAAAGCTGTAAATTTACCTATAATGCTGACGGAACCAGGAGCAGTGCCGGAGGGAAGCCGAGTACGGATGAAACCACCTCAGTTCGATGGGAAAACTTCTTGGACAAATTACATCCGTCAGTTTGAGGCAGCAGCAAAAGCAAATGGCTGGCTACCAGAAGAAAAAGCTACAGCATTGACTCTTGCTTTACGTGGAGATGCAACCGATATCTTGCAGACACTTTCTCCCAACGAACAAGAAGATTACGAAGCGTTGGTGAAACATCTGGAACTTCGATATGGCCAGACACATCTGGAACATGTGTACCATTCCCAACTGAAGAATCGCTGCCAGAAATCAAACGAGACTTTACAAGAATTCGAGGCTGATATTGCACGCTTGGTTCGGCTAGCATATCCAGCTACTCCAACGACCGTTATGGAACGATTAGCGGTTCAAGCAGGAGCCAGCATAGAATTAGGAGAGTCGAGGAAGAAAAAGAGAAGGAAACCAGTATAATAGAAGAAATCAGGCGAGTTCTTAAAGAGAATCTACCAGAAAAGAAGGAAATCCGGTGTTGGAGATGTGGAAAGCTGGGACATATACAAAGTCGTTGCAGAGGAAGCCAGGTGGCGCTGACTTTATTTAGAAAAATAAATAGGACTGAAGAAAAAGATGTATGTATTCGTAGGACTACAATCGTGGATGATCATTGGCAATCCACTGAGATTCAACAAGACCAGGAAAGGGACCCGGATTTGAAGCTCATCATCGATTGGAAGAAGAACGACTGTAAACCAACGTGGCAAGAAGTTGCCCAATATTCGCCGAATGTGAAATCGTACTGGGCCCAATGGAATTCCATCATCTTAAGTGAAGGACTTCTAAAGCGCGTGCTGGAGACTCCAGAAGGGGTAAAAGACCGGAAGCAGATAATAATCCCTAGAAACAGGATACCAGAAGTGCTGCAGGAAATCCATGATGGAACTTCTGGAGGACATCTTGGGGTGACCAGGACGCTCGGGAGACTTAGGGAACGGTTTTATTGGGTCAACAGCCAACGAGATGTGAAGGAATGGTGCAAGAAGTGCGCCGTTTGCGCGGCAAGCAATGGACCCCAGAAGCGCCCAAAAGCCCCAATGCGACAGTACAATGTGGGCAGCCCATTTGAGAGAATTGCAATCGACGTGGCGGGTCCATTTCCGGAAACAGAATCTGGAAATAAATACATCATCGTTGTAATGGACTACTTCAGCAAGTGGGCGGAAGCGTACGCCTTGCCAAATCAGGAAGCTGCCACAGTGGCCGATGCCCTTATTAAGGAGTGGGTTTGTCGTTTTGGTGTGCCAATGGAGATGCATTCAGACCAAGGCAGGAACTTTGAATCTATACTATTCCAGAATGTCTGTAAGATTCTTAACATTCGGAAGACGAGGACGACTGCATTACATCCGCAGTCTGATGGAATGGTAGAACGAATGAATCGAACGATAAACCGGTACTTGTCCAAGGTAGTCTCTGATCACCAAAGAGACTGGGACCGCTTCCTCCATCTGTTCCTATTGGCGTACCGTTCTTCTATCCACGATACAACCGGCCAGACACCCGCTAGCATTGTTATGGGACGTGAACTTCGTCTACCTTGTGAACTGAGGTTTGGTTGCCTACCAGGGGAAGATATTGCTGGAGAAGATTATGTCAGCAATTTACGTAGGAAAATGAGCGATATTCACAGCCGAGTTCGTTTAAACATCCAGAGTGCCAGTGATAGAATGAAAGAGGCATACGACATCAAGGCGGAAAATGGAGGATTTCAACCTGGAGACCTAGTTTGGTTATACAACCCTCAGCGCCGTCGTGGTTATTCACCGAAGCTGCAGACTTCTTGGGAAGGACCATACGAAGTCATGGATCGCATAAATGACATCATCTACAGGATCAGGAAACAACCAAGAGGAAAGCCGAAAGTGATCCATTTCAACCGATTGGCCCCTTACGCTGGAAACAATGCTCAAATAGACGATGCTAGAGTAAGGAGAGTTAATCCGCCGGAAGACGAATTGCCTTTTGAAGACTTCATGTATTTTTATTCGAGCGGTAAAAAAGCTCGGTATGGTGTCACTCGAGAAGAACAAAAAGATCTGTTCACGGTTTCGGCCGATTACTCCTTGGCTCACTGTGTTGCGGAAGACCTTAGGATGTCCAGGGGAATAGCGGTTGTCTTTAAAAACAAGTTTGGACGGGTTGACGAGCTACGAAGGCAGAATCCCAAAGTTGGAGAGGTGCTTGAAATTGTGGATAATGAGCAGATAGGCAATAGAAGTATCTTTTATCTGGTAACGAAGCAGCTCTCCCATCATAAGCCAGACTACCGTGATGTATGGAATGCCTTAAAT